CAGAATATTAAGCGCTTAAATAAGTAAAGAAAGATACCATACATAATAATAAATGTTACATAATTATATACATATTAATATAATATGTGCGTTTATAATAAATATTTAATAATTCGCTATTGTATGGTTTGCGAAATTACTTGATACTTTTACCTAGTACCTACCCTTAATACGCATTAAATATTTGTAATAGTCTGACGCACTAACGTACTTTTAATTGTTTGTATCCACAACGTCATAACATAGCTGGTATACATATCACAAAAAAAAAAAAAATAATAAAATATCATTTATAATATACACATAATATCAAAATAATTACAGATTTGATTATACTTAGGCTTGACATCTGACAAGGTGAATGAAAAATCTGCTACCGTTAGTATACGTGCTTAATAATATCAAAGCACTCAGATGTATGTAGGTATATTATTGCCATATATAGGTGTGTAGGTACCTACTGATATAATATTATCGTAGTTAAACGAGTATTAGGTGGCCTGAAAAAATAATTTAGAAACTTACGCGCGTCACAGTTTTTACAGTAGTTGAAAAGTATGAACATATCGTGCTCAAATCGTTTCATTAGGTAAATATTGTGTCAACCTTGGTTGCACACAATGATTTACGACGAGGATATAGACGAATCTCTCCATGATATAAATAGGAATTTAATCGTACATTTTTACGCATATTTTTTTATATTTTATGAGAAATCCCTTACCCCTCACCATCCTGGCAAAAATAAAAAGTTAATAATAATGACATGGATTTTATAAACGTCAACGGGCGATTTAATATTTCGAGGAAAAAAATTGACACCGCATTAAACTGTTTTGTGACCGCGCCTCTTCGGGCGCCGACGTGTCAATGTAAATAACATATGTGCCATATAATAATACACATTAAGCATAGGTGCCATACTTAAACTTATGTCCGGTAAATGCCATATACTTATACTTAACTCTTGACCGTAATCACACACGTAATACGTCATGTTTTAAATATAAAACGGTAGCTTCATCAGACGTGACCAAATAATAAAAACGGATAGATAAAAAAAATCACTTGAATTATAATATTATGCAACACTAATAATATTAGTAAAATATATATGAAAGGCTGGCCTGTGTCGCGATAATTATAACTATACAAGCGTGTCCATATTTCACGCGTTTTCGAAATAGTATATAATAACGATTACAATAATAATATATTAGTCCATTCACTGCGCAGACGGAATCGTGTTTATCGTACTTCGTAATTTGTTTTCATTATTTAATCAATTTCATAGTTTATACCCGACATAAAGAATTGCAATTGCGCACATTTACATACAATGAATCTTCTTATAAATGCGCACACATGATTAATATAAATAAAAATGGATAATAATATTTAAAAAAAAGTATTATTTTTCTCAAGTTTTTTTAATTTTTTACACACCGAACCTTGTGGTTACAAGATAAATGAAGCAAAACTCATAGAAAATTGATTAGTCCTCAAACAGTAATAACAATTACATATTATGTATATACAATATACATATATATATATATATATATTACATTTTATGCAATATAATAGAATAATACAATATAATGGCTTTTTTACTCATATAATGTTATTTTTACGGATTCGCCTATCCAGGTGCATAATAAAACTCAGAATATTGACAATGTGAATTATTTTTTACCTCCTGCCGAGGTATCCAAATCGCGTATATAGCAGGTATACAAACGTAGTATATACGTATAACACAATGACATACTTCATAATATGAATGTATATACGCGCACACACACACACACACACACACATATAATATAATACACCATATACTGACTACTGCAGGTGTATAATCGGACACATGAAATGTTGGCGAATAAGTGGTATAAAATTATTATTATTATATCTTCATAATATAGGTATGTTTTACTATGTATCGTAATTCTTTTTTTTTTTTTTGTCAAAAAACGGTCATTCTCTTGATACATAATATTTTTTAAATATTTACTCTATTATCATTTAGTTATAATCTTACAAGTTTTTTTTATTTTTAGAAGTGGATTCTTTAATTTTAATTTTATTTGATATTCTGAATAACTAGAATATTTCAAAGGTACATATAACAATGTATAATAAACAGTTATACCAGTTTATAGTAGCCCATATATAATATGATAGCTACGTGTGCCGCGTGGCATATTTAGAAAATTTTTTTTTTTTTTGGGGGGGGGGGGGGAAGACTAATCAGTTACATATAATTTTAAAAAAAAAAAAAAAACAACATTATAACTGCAAAATATATGTGATTATAAAAAAAAACCGTATTTCTGTTATTAATGTGTACAAAGTAGTCCTGATATCTCGGCGAACAAAGTAGGTCTTTGTATTATTATTATTTAAATTAAATAATAATTTAAATTTTCTTGAAATTACGAGGGGGGACTTATCAGCTCCCCTCAGACTTCCCTCTGGATACGCCACTGGCTACATATCATAATATACGATTATTATGTATACCTATACTCGTATACACCCGCCCGTGCATGAAACAATATTCAACGCGGTCGAGTTGATAACGACGCATCAGTGATTTTTACTTTTATAGGAATTTTTTAGACATTATTAATATTTAACAGTACAAACAGAAAATTTTCCGAGCGTACACATATTATATACCGGCATGTGTACTTAATATGGATGGCGTTCCATCCGTAGTACATTCGTTGCAGCTTCCGGGGATCGGCCGGGACGGAAAACAAATAATATGATAAATCGACCGCGCCATAATATACATGAACGCGACCGCATACCTATAACACATAATATCATATTATATTATTTTTTTATAATAATATGTATTTATATGGAATGAACGGCAGAGCACACGTGACTGAAGTTAACCGTGAAAAGCAACAAATACGACGATTTACGCGCATGCGTGTTATCTCGTAAGTACGCCATATAATAATGATATAATACAAGTGGCTAAAATAAGTTGAAAAAAACAACTTCCATGATGTAGATATAATGCGACAATATTTGGAAAGCCGCCGTATGTGGGAGGAGTTTAAACAGACAAGACGTTCGCCGGTGTAGGTGTTAACGAATTTGTATCTGTCTGCAATACTATTTTTTTTTTTTAGTTTGTTCCAAGGCAATATCACAAAGATAGGTAATAATATACTATATAATATGCTCTATGCAGGTATAACATGTAAATGTGACTTAGTCTCCGGGAAGCTCGTGTAAACGCACGCACGATTTACTTATCATTTCCCATAAATACGGAAACACGGGCGGATGAATCATTATCGAACGTCCGTCGTAGATTTCAATAAATAAATCCTATAATACGTGAAGGAAGAGCGTTCAATTACTGCACCGCGGCCAGGATAGCGTGTCATGTTGCACGGTAAACGCTGCTGCACATAATATACGTCACGAATGTGAAATAATATACTTGTCAGCGTTCGTATTACCTATACAATATAATAATATGGATATTAACGCTGCAGAGTTGGGCGGCCGTGTTCGTGTATATATGTATAGTATCGTGTGTTTGGCTTTTCGTCGTCAAGGTTTTATTTGTCGTTAGAAAAACCACAATGGCTGCGGGCACGGAAAGGCGATAAAAAAAAAAAAAAACCACCTACACGGCTACACACCAAAAAACCCGCACGTATATAATATGTCGTATATATATTTAATCATTATATAACATATATACAATAAAAGGGTAAGTATATATATTGAAAGCGTATAATGTAAGATGTATCGCATGCCACATAACATAATACGTATGTGTGTATTCTTGCTGACATGAAGCGGAAAGAGAAAAATAATTCCAATTATGAGACAACAAAAAAATTATAATTTATTTCGTATAATTATCAATACGCATATTATATATATATATATATAGGTAATAAAAAATACAGTACTTATATAATATAATATATTATACATATCATATATATTGGTGTACATATGTAGAAACGTTGAACATTTTTTATTAATTATCTATACACGGTTCTTACGCATTTAAACAACCATATATTCACAATACAATATAATGTTTATCATTTAGTTGTACGTTGAGTAAATCGATAACGGTGATTATATGTTATTCATATAAGTTTTTATATAATATGTTTTATATATAAGTACAAACGCGGCTGAGGTTCGACGACACAATCGGCAGTCGGCCACGTATTCATAGGTAAACCGCGGTGTATTTAATATAAAAAAAAGAAATTTATTTTAATCGTTTAAACTTTAAACATAGGTAAATATAGGTATACACGAAATATAAGATTTTTTTTTTAACTTCATTACCCTATATGCACGTGAAGCGGACAAAATACTTCGTCGAGAGTTTAACACTAATCAAAACATTAATAATAATAATAATAATAATAATAATAATACTTTTTTTTTTTTATGTTTTTTCAATAAAACATTGAATTATGTACACAGATATAATGCATAATATAATGAATTATATTATAATAATATATTATTTACAAAGTGGCGACACGCAGTTATATAACATAAAAAGATTATAATATATAATATTGTATATATTATGTTAAAAAACACGCCGCGAGTGTCAAAAGTGGAAAACAAAAAAGTTTGTAATTTGTACAACAATATCGTTTCTGTATGTATATAAATATATATAGGCAATACGTACGAAAAAGATTTACCGTACAATTTGATCGAATTGTCCGTTACACGAATAGTGCAGTCAGTACGTGTAGAACGCACTGCCGAGGGCCGCGTAATGCGTGACCAAGTCGCTGCCGTGTTGGTGGTGCAGTTGTTGGTGTTGCTGCAGGTACTGCTGATGATGCTGGTGTTGCTGCTGGTCCTGTTGCTGCTGCTGCTGGAGGTGGTGATGATGATGGTGGTGGTGATGTTGATCGTGCTGCTGCTGCTGGTCGTGCTGCTGAAGTCCGTTTTTGTACTGCTGCTGGAGACTAGAAAACAACTGTGGGCCGGGCGTAGCACCACCGCCGGTGCCGCGGTCGCCGCCGCCACCGAACGCGACAGTCGGCGGCGGTGGCAGCTGCACCGGCGGGGGCGACGCTCATTCCAGTTTCTCCTGGTACATCTTTGGCTCTTTGCCGGCGGCGTTCGTCCAGCTGCAAAAACTCTTCTGGTCCTTGTTGTTGTTGCTGTGCTGCTGTTGCACGGTCAGGAACGGCGACGGGCCAACGGCGTGCGACGACGGCGGCGACAACGGGACCACGGAACCCACGGAACTGACTACCGGGCTCCACCGGACCAGTCCGGCCGGCCCGCCCAGGGGCAACGGCGGTTTGACGTCCACCATGTCGGCCATGTGCAGCGGTTGCACGTGCTGCTGGTGCTGTTGCTGTTGCTGCTGCTGCTGCTGTTGCTGCTGCTGCTGTTGCTGTTGCTGTTGCTGTTGCTGCTGTTGCTGTTGCTGCTGTTGATGTTGGTTGTGCGGAGACGTACCGTCGGCCGCGCTCTGACTGTTCTCCGAATCGGAACACGAGTCGCTGCTGCCCTTCTTGCTGCCGCCGTTGCCGTTGTGCGTCTTGACGTGCTTGGCCAAGTGATCGGACCGCATGAACCGCTTGTTGCACACGGGACACGCGAACCGCTTCTCGCCGGTATGCGTGCGCAAGTGCCGCTGTAGCTCGTCGGACCGCGTGAACCGTTTGCCGCAGAACAGCCAGTTGCACACGAACGGCCGTTCGCCCGTGTGCCACCGGAGATGGGCCTTGAGGTGGGACGTCTTGCCGTACACCTTGCCGCAGCCGGGTATGTGGCAGCTGTGCACGTTCTTCTTGAGGTGGCCGCCGGCCGGTCCCAGGCGCTCGGCCTCCTGGCAGTTGGGACAGTCGCAAGTGGCCCGTCCCGTGTACCGGCGCTGCGTGCGCGGCGACGGTGTCTGGGGCGCCGCGCTGTACGCCGCCGACACGGCGGCCGCGGCGGCTGCGGCTGCGGCGGCCGCTGACGCCGAACCCGGTGACGTGGCCGACGAAGAGGACGACGACGACGTGACGACGGACGGGTGATGGTGGTGGTGATGGCCCAGACCGAACGAACCCTGTGCGCCCGGCAACATGGACTTGTACGTGTCCTGCAAGAAGTGTTGGTTGGAGAACAGGTGGTGAGCGGCCGCCGTGTTGGACGCGGCCAACGAGTGGCTGAGTGACGAGTAGTCCGACTGCGCCGCGTAATTGGCCATCTGTGCGTGCATGCCTGAGTGAAAACCAAAAAACAAAATTATCAAAACTCTTCGACATCACAACACACATCATAATAATAAGAGAATATACGATATTGTGTAGGAGGTAGATGTATGACGTCATTGTTATTGTCGTCATCAAATATTTTAAATAGGTTTATCAAGTACTGCGTATATATATATAGGCATATAATATACTACGTAAATAAGTCACGTTTCTAAACGTCCGGAGAAAAAATTACGATACCAAACTATTTGTACTCGCATACCGCGCACAGGTATAATAGGTATATGCATTACGTTTATACGTAAATAAGTCGCGTTTTTAAACGTCCGGAATAAAAAAAAAACTACCTACGATATTCAAATTATACCGTAATGTTGCAGTGTGTATACGCGAGCGATTATGAAATGTGAAAGGAATCATTTAAACGTCGAAGTATCGTATATTATATTATACACATGCACGTTATAATGATATTATACGTATACATAGTAGCGGATCACGATTCGCGCGCGTTTATAATCGACCTCGCGTCCTCGCTGCATATGCGTACGCGTGTGTCTGTGTGTGCATATGCACGCCGGACCAGCCGCGTATTTCAAAAACAAATTATTCGTATACCTACGATTATTTTAATTTTAATTTTTTAATAGCGAGCGTATTTTTATATTAATTATTTATTTTTTTATTTTTTTTTTTGTATCTCGTATCATGCACGACGCCGTTGCAATACATACGCGAAGACCGTACCTATACGTTATCATTATAATTCTACATCGCAACATCATAAATATATCGTAGAACGATAGCAATAACTAATGAATATATAATGTGCACACAACACTTACCTCCACTCATGTCCAACCATCCACTCCCGTGCACGTCCCACCAAGCGGGATTCACGGACTCCGTCTTGATGGCGGGCGCGTGGTGTCCGGCTGTGCCCATCGAATTGAACGGCCACTCGTACGGATGGCGGCCGTACAGCGCGCTGTGGTTGTCCACCTTGCCCAGCAGTGGGCTCTGGTGATGGTGATGGTGGCCGTTGTTGTCCGCGGCCAGCGTCTGATGGCCGCCGCCACCGCCGCCGAAGTATATGTTGCCGTGATGCGGCGGCGGCGGGGGCGGGTAACCCGCGCCCGTCGGCACCGGCGTGGACGGAGCCGACGACGTGGACGTGACCACGGGCCTGGGCGACTCGGCCGCGCTCGACGACGTCCGCTGCTGCTGTTGGCACTGTTGCTGTTGTTGCTGTTGCTGTTGCTGCTGCTGCTGCTGTTGGTGCTGTTGCAGCGGCGAACCGGACATGTCGGTGGACTGCTGTTGCGGGCTCTTCTTCCACGGATAAAACCCTTTGCCCACGGCCGCGTCAGCGAGCGGCGGAGGCGATTTGCTCTGCAACTTGTTGCACTGAGCCGCCAACATGGCCAGCGGAGTGTTCCTCAAACCGGGATGTTCCTGAAACAAGATTTGCGAGTTTCCGGTCAGTACATCCGTGTATACGCGGTTATTTTAGATGAACCATATAACATAATAATATATATGGACGCAATGTACACAAAACGATTCAGTACCGCTACACAAATTGAACGAGACCCGCGCTACACGTATAATAATATTGACTGTGATTTGTGACGACCGAAAACGAATAGTTTCACGACTTTAAGTATTGATTTGTAACTTTCGACCGGTGTTCTAATCTATATTGATACGTATAAAAATCATAGGTACGCGTATGACGCGCGTTAACAAAGCGTGTCAACGGCGTGTGACTAACGACGTTTCGTGTAAAATTTGTGAAGTGATTTTAATGCGGTGACGATTTGTCGGGCTGTGAGTTATTATGTTTTTTTGCGGTGAATACGCGTTTTGATGACCAGTAATTATACAGTTATAGTTGTATATAATATCCAATGCGCGAAAAAAAAAGTATATTAAAATAAAAATAAATACCCGTGTCAGAAGAGCAATATCGGGCGAAAAAATAATCACGCACAAACGAGTCGTAATCGCGATTCGAATATAATATTATAATACAATATTATCAAAGCTGCTACAATAGTAGGTGGTACCTATATCATACGGGCTCGTAAAATATAATAATAATAATACTCTACGTGGAAATTTGTAAACGCAGTCCAGCAGTTGTTCGAAATTAATTATTACGATAAAAGTATGTTATAATATACGGTGCGCGTGGCGTGCGAAGCAGCGATCGTACTGTGTACGTATCGTAATAAATAATATTAAAAAAACAGGTTTGTCCGACGAAACGAGATTTACATGGTTCAGCTATTGCGCGCATAATTCGTACTGCCGACTGACCGCTGCTGCACAGTGCCTCCACAATATTATTATTACCGCTGCAATTTATAAGTAATCGAACTGTATCACAATAATATCATAGCAATCGGGAAAATAATAAAATAATTACGCAAGACAAATGCCTATAATTTAATCGCATTTTTTTTGTACGCGGCAACAGTCCAAGCGTTTCGAGTAGTGCCCACTGAATACATCATAGACTAAAGTAGATAGATATTACCGGAAAATTGAGTGTAATCACTTACTAACGACGCGTTCGATTCTGGCGCGTTTTATTTTGTATAATGTTATATATTATTTTATACACCGTTCCATAGTTGACCTATAAATATTTACTAATTTATTGCTATATTTTTTTCGACAAACGGGTACAAAAAAAACTCGTTCCCGGCTCCGGCAAGTGATGGTAGGTACGTACGACACCACGACGTTCAAGCCAATCTAAGCGCAACTAGTCTTCTGTCTTTGCATCCGCACAAACGACCGATCTTGTTTTTCGAACACTAACGCGCGCGCGTCATTAACATCGCACGCAAGTCAATCCACCCACACACTTCCTCATTTCAATTCCTATTTTAACAGTTATGATATTATATTATTAAACGCACAACGCACATACACGAATATATGTCCAATGCAGAGCGCGAATGCGCCCAACGGCTGTCTACGCGGTAACGTGTTTAAAAATGTATGTAGACTACCTACGTGATATATAATGTGTGTACGTATTCATATTTTAGTAAACCGTTTTGAATAAATTAAGTTTTTAAATTATTACAAAAATAATGAAAAAAAAAAAAAAACGACATCTGAATTTGATCTCGATATTAGACAGCCCAATGGTTAGGTATAGGTATAATAGAACCGACGACGTCTACAAACACATTTTAACCTATACCGTCTTTGTTCTTTACATGTATACCTACCTATACGAATATATAGGTACCAAGACATATCGAATACATGACAGAAGAGAACCGTCGGGTATTATTATTTTTGTGTATCGAATCATCACCATTTTTTTTCCGTAATAAGGTTCAGAAAAATAATTGGTACTACCGACTGAAAAAACGAAAAAAAAATAATATTAAATATATACATATTGTATACGCATATACGCATACGAATTTTACCTCCGATGTAGGTATACAAGAACCTATAACTGAAATAATGGACAAGACGACTGCAGCAAGATCAAACTTGAGCGGACGTGTGGTGTAGACAATTATTTTATTATAATACAGAGAAAGAATCTTGCACCAAATAATATAAAGACGGTGAAATATCGATAATCGATTTAAATTCCTAAGTGTAGCAAATGATCCTAAATATCATTATGATGTATAATAAAACAAATATACAGGTGAGGTCAAAAATATAATACGATGTTGGATTCGTTGACAGACTCTAATGATGTATTACACGAAATATTATATACCTCAAAATCCAAAGACAGCGTAGAATAAAATCATGTACAATGAAATATAATAATAAAAAGCAACGATTGTAATTTTTGAAAATGACAAATGAATCAATTTTTTTTTTAATGATTGTCTTAAATACCAAAAATATTTAACAATTTCAAAAATCTGTTCAATGATTTTTAACGAAAACTTCTTTGAATGTACCATAACGTGAACATAATGTACATAGCGATATAAGTATTATATTGAGACTGCAGTCTTAGTCACGATCATTCATTCATAAGAATTATTCTAATATTATTATACATATTATGTATGGGCGATTAACAATGTACCTATGTATAGAAAAACATTTTCAATGGGATTTAATTAGGTATTCTTACAGAATTGATATCCTCTTTTCGTCTGTAACATTGTATTTTATATTTGTGATTTGTATGCAAACGACAATTTCAAAATATATTAATTATCTATCAATTAATAATAATTATGCATAACACATAATATTTCTAGGTAAAAAAATTAAAAAATACTAAAAAAAAATTACACACATAATCTAAAACCAGTCTTGTATATAATATCATGGTATGTCATAATATATAAACGGTTACACACTTAAAAGTTTTCTTAATCTATGATGTAGGTATAGGTAGTTAATATGTATTTACCATTTAAATGTATTCTTGTAATACATTGAAATTAACTGAATATTACATGCATTTATTGTGCAGAGAAAATAATTGATCGTAAATATTTGAAGGATAATTGCATCGGTTGAAATAATCAAAACTACGAAATCTATTTATTAATTTAAATCTTATTAGCATGAAATTAAGTAAAAACATTACGTAGTTCTGTGACATTTATTATAAACCTAAATTAATGTAAATACCGTTAAATTACAATAATATAAATAATATTATATTCATATTATATTCAATCGGATCGATGTGTTAATATATCGAAATGAAAAAAATACGATTTTCAATGACAGTCTTTATCGACAGACGTTATCCAACCGTCAGTTGTGATCGTCGTACACAAAGTGCTGTCATATTAGAACCCCAATAACACTTTATACACTTCTACACTGACGAATAAAAATAACCACTCAAGCGAATTTGACAACCCATTCATTCGTCCGGCGCCCCTATGATTATATTATTATTGATCATCACGACTGTCATGCGAAACTCGTGCGATTTCATAAATGAAATATTTTTACCCTGCAGTGCATATTATACATATACAGAAATAACAATTGCACATTACCGTAATCGTCGTTTTACGAAATTCATAATTATTTTCGATTCATTGTTATTATGGCGAGTTGAAGCGACGCCTGTCATCTTGTATATGTACTTACATACTTACATGCATACACACACACACACACACACACACACACACACACAAGATGTATGAACACACAGTTTTCACTGGTTTGACCGGAAGACACTACATCAATATATTTATCGTCGTCATCTCTATGCCATTTATCGACTGGATCGCTGGGACAAGATTATAGACAAAATCGTGAAGGAATAAAACTGATCATCGGGAAAACAGCAGGGTCAAAACCAATTTAACGAAGATGAAGAAAAAAGAAACAGCCGTGTAACCCAACACCGGATATTCGCGTTATTGTCACCACGGAAACGTAAACATTTCAATAAAATTCGGAGCCGCCACCGTCCAATAATAATGTCACATTGTCCGAAAGGTAAAATCCTGTACATACACCTGTCATGCTTTCAAAAATTATACAATGATGTTTTTCTTAATCGAATATATGCGATTCTCGACAAATTTGTTCCACGCGTTGTATTCAACCGGACTGTACAAGATAAAAACGTGGATTTAATATATTCGAGTGATATTTCTATCAGAAATATTGTCAAATTTATGTGATACATCATACATCCTGTATACAACGTATAAATAGTATAAAAACACTATAGTATAACCTAACTACAGTCTACAGTCATCCATATATAATTTATTGTTGTGCAAGAATTCAAATATGTTTCGAAACTTATGCTGATTTCAAAGCAATAAAAATAACCAACGATGGTTTATTCTAGTTATACCTATATATATAGGTACGTACATAGATATATGCGCGCACATGATATTATAATATATTAATATAATACAAAATTGTTGCACGTAGGTACCAATTGTATAGTATACTATATATACACACGGCTAATTATAATATTAAATATTTACGTATTTTTAATAAGAATGTTTTTATACTAACCGTACAAAATTACTCACGTTATGAAATGTGAACGCAACCCACGCAACTTATATGATAATTTTAGAATGTACCTAACAAATTTACAAAAAAAAAAAACGAAAAAAACGAAAAAATGAACTCTAAGAATTGGTAAAAAAATTCAATACAATCAACTCTCGTTTCCGTTTATGGAATATATACATATAATATTTACGTATATGCATGTGTATGTGTATGTGTGTGTGTATAAATAGACTACAGTAGAGTATAATATATACGAACAGGAACCCGTTAGTTCCTGAGGCCCATAGGTGCTAGAAGAAGAAGGCACACCTTGTTTATATTCTTTTAACTAACAAAAAGATCACGAGATAAGCCGCGCCATTAGTCAACGTTATATCTGACGACGTCATAAAATTAATTATATACACACTTTTTTTACTCTTTTTTTTTCTTTTTATCAATGTGTGCTCGTTTTAATGACGATGAGTGTGCGGTTTGTGGCGGCAAGCAAAAGTGTATAAAGAGTGAATAATGAAAATAATAAAAAAAAAATTCAATTCAATAAGACGATTTTTTTTTTATTTACTATTGTGAATGTAACGAACGATATATACCAACCGATAAAAAGTCAATCAGCACAAAATGTTTTTAATCGCCATATACGTTTTATAATATTACATTAATATAGATAATGATAATCCTCCCCAAAAATTTCAAATTTTTAGGGAAAAAATAATGTATGGCATGTTTGAGAAACATATATTTGATGGAAAATGAGAAAAATATTCTTTGAACTTACACGCCTGTCTGTTACTCATACCATTGCTAGTGAGAAAAGGTGTGTGATTATTAAATGTATAAAAGTTATTATTTTTAGTTTGTTTTTATTTATATTCTGTCACTATTTTACTGACCAATGAGATAATAATATATAAGAACATATATTTTGTACTGAAACTTTATTATTTTACTGTACATTTTTATGTATTACCGTGCAAACGAAACGAATATAATACATATATGACGCACTTATAAGAATTTAAAAATAAATTTAATTTTAGCGAGATAGATAATACACACACGCACTACCTATACAACAGAAAAATGTCACTATACGTACACTTTTAATCTACGACAAATAATTTTTACTATAATATTGCCTATACATTTATATGTATACGCGTCACCCATAATTCTTTATACCAACAAAATGACATTGACATGTATATGTTAGTCCTTATATATACTAGCTGTACACTGTTAGTACTTTGTAGATGTGAAGGAGGAGATTCTATCGTCATTTTTTTTTTTTTTTAAAGTTATTATTTACTTGAAGAATGGCTTCTACCATTCTGTTATAACATCACCAGATTAGGTGGCGCCACATGTCATGCAGGGTTCAAAGATTCGACACCGACAGTCCGTGATGAAGCGGTTTTTATAATTTTCTTTTTCTGTCTCTATATACCTACATAATATTATATATATATACGTATATATGTATGTATAATACTATAATGCGTACAGAGTGTTTTACTACTCTCATTATACATGCCTGGGGCTTTTAGTGATGGGTATACGCGTTTAAAATCCATTTTCTACCGGCAGCTTAATCGAAAAACGGCGGCTAAATTAAAAACAAAAAAAAAATACGAGGAAAGACGAGCAACTTACCATTATCTCTTGTTCGGTGGGCCATCCTTCATTGCAAGATTTGCCGGTTAAGGCGCTTTGGAAGTCGGGAACCTATAAACACATTGAATAATAAAACGATTAGCAAAATTCATAATAATGAATAGGTAAAAATAATGGTACTACGTAAACATTGATAATATGGACATATATCGTTGCAATGTCCTAGAGATATCTATCTATAAAGTATTTGCGTTTGTTGATATTGGGCTTTTCAGAAAATATTGCGTCAATTAAACAAACTTCACTATTTTTATGTCATTTAAGACAATCCGTGGTTAAAAATATATTCATAATATATATATATATATATATATATAAATATTAATATTATACATTTCACTTATGATAATATGAATGATATGATACATCACAATTCACAAATATATATTATTCCATAACACACTATAATACCTAAAAGCATACAATGTTTTTTCAATCATTATTACTTGGAATATATAAATATATTTAGATTTTTATCTCTATAAGTAGATCATTCAGTCTTACGCTTCAATTATAATATTACATGTGTATGTGTATATTATACAAAATTCAACGAGAGGTGACATTGGCGACAGCTAGACGTCTTTCAGAAACGCGACAACGTCGAAGTACAGCGGTCGTACTGTTAAACGAAGGTCGTCCCGAAAAAACGGGTTCATTAATACATCCTCCGGGCGTAATATACATATTTTACACATGAATAATTTGACGGCACACCATCAAAGTTAACGTATATATATAAATACGTGTGTATGTATAAATATATATATATATATAAGTGTACCCAATAATGGGGGCTCACAACTACTATCTCAACGATACCGCCTTTAGCTAAAAAACATGTGTTTCGGACAAAACGCACGTCATAAATCCTTTCGTTCAGAATTAGTCGCTATATCTTTCCGCCGAAGACGTACAGCCATATAGGTATGTATATTATACATAATATTAATAAAAATGATATATATACGTGGTGTGTGAAATCTGTAATGTTGTATAGGTAGATATAGAATTTGTATCAGTTAGTGTGTTGGTTATTTATTTATTTATTTTTTTTTTTTTTTTTGGTTGGGCTACCGATTTACGCATGGTCCGAAAAAAAATCCTTTTTTTCCAAATTTCATTTTCAATCACTCGAAATCAGCCGCTCACTCGGCTATGACATATAAAACGCGTTTAAATATATTTATTGGATCGAAACGTCTACTTAAAATGATCTGGGTTCTCGTGCACAGCTTGAAAATGTCAGATTTGTGTTGAATGCATAGGTATATGCTTTACAAGAGACCGGCACTATAATAACAACTGACCATCAAAAATAACAATTGCCAATTGAACATGTTCAACAATATAAAATATATTTTATGTATATATAGTAATATTATGTTATATAACACATCATAATATGAATCATCCGCTATACCTCGTGAATAATATTATTATACCCGAACAGATGTACCTAAATACCTATGTAATGCTCACGCGAGAACTGATGGCAAAGAATGAGAACTAGCATGGATAAGGATATTTATTTTTTAATTAGTTCTTCAATGTAGAAAAATAAAACAACGGTCGCTTAAGGACATATGCGCCCACTGTGGAAACAATATTACAGTAGCATTTTATATATTTTTTAATGGGTTGTAACAAGTGCAAATATTCATTGTGTACATATATCATATACTCGTATTATACAGTATACATTTATATTAATATTTATCATTCACACACAATCGCCTGAAGTAATTTTTAAGTTTTTTCTAATTATATTTTGAGTTATTAATATTGGTTTCAATCCTGACGTGTTGTACTTCTATGCATATAGTTATGACCAGCAGCATTAAAACATAAACGAAAAAAAAAACTATAAACGAGAAAACAGAAGCGACTGACAAAACATCCGTACAAGTCATTTGGTCATATATTATAAATAGGGTTAAACTTAAATATCGAGTTTTAATAAGAAAACGTGGTTAATTATGTCCTCGGGGCCGATTCAATCGTTGTTTCAATATAAATAACATTATTATGAATGAAGTCCTACCGCGCATACGCATCATTGAAATGATTAAAGTATATTTATTCTTCAATCGATTTATTAAAAATAATTAATCCCTAGGCGAATTCCCACGGTATATAGCTAACAGACATATACAAACACATGGATCACGCTTGTAAATAGTCGTTACAACAAACAATGAAGTACAAAACAAAATATTACCTATATCGATTGATCAATAAATCTAAAAATTCAATAATAGCACACATTATGTATTGTAACAAAAATATACCTACAAATATAAAATTTCAATAATAGTGCACGCGAGAACTTCATGCACATAATATACTTGAGTATTATGCCTATCAAATGTATTAGTAGGTATATACTACCCGAGGTTTTATTTTGCAATTTCGGAATTTATGAAATCACTTCAAAGAGAAGCAAGATGATGACCTTAATACTGTCAAATCTCATTCGAATCTTTTTGCGGTTACATTATTGTATTATTATTATTATTTCTTCTTCTTCTTTTTTTTTTTTTTTTTGTTCAAAAGATACGATTATGCGTGCACTGCACCGTCACATTCAAGTGTCAAACGATTTGACGGGCGAAACGTCAACAGAATGAAAAGGGGCAGATTTCTTCTCTATACAAAGTGAATTAAAATCGCGTGCAGCCACCACCGTTTTCCGTGTTCCAGTCTTTATTGACCGCAATTTATTTTGATAGCGGTTCAAAGCCCGTCTCTGTGAACGCGCACGTTCCGTCAACAATGAGGCATATAGAAAAAAAAATAAAAATATATGTAGGTATAATGTGTATATAATATTATATAAATAAGTGTGTTGTAAAAATAAAAAATAAAATAAAACGAATAAGAAAGAAAAATCAAAGGCTTGAACAATAGACAAGCACGGGAATTAGCAGCCCCTCGAGGTTTGAAATCGTGTCGGCGTAATCAGCCCGCAATGGATAATAATATTATTGTGTCCGGAGGCCGCAATGATTTCTGACGGTTTGCTTTTATATATTATAGTAATATAGTATTATATTATTATACATTAAATTCGCAGCACCGTCGATTACGCGTAGCGATATAAATATAAGAGTTTGATTTTATATATATATATTACACAAATAATAAAAATAAAAATAATTATAATATTGTCTTATGATTTTTCGTCAAAAGTAATTATAGTTTTCTATAAAAAAAATTAGTAATTAGATAAAAAACAGAGAAATTGCCCTTAAATATTGTATAGATAATAACTAATAATTAATAATTAATAGTTTCTTATATTAACAAATAATAATTTACAAAGTGTAAGCTTAACTAAATATTTGATAATTAGTGCAAGAATTTTTTAAATGCTGTTCACCATACAGAACTCATTTATAAATCTAACCTAGCCTATATAACTATAATACATAATTATATATAGTCACAATTATAATATAGTCATATGAAATATTATATACAAATACTTCTTAATTATATTTTATATGATTTTATCAAAATTATGTTAAAGAATTAATTTCGAAATTAAACTTGTTTTATATTTTAAAACTATTTTATAAGAGTGTATGTAAAATTTCTCTTTGTTTTATTCAATTAGTTTTCAAAACATAATTATCATTTCAATATAATTTAGTTTGATAAAAAAAATATTTTACACAAATAAACTGTAATATGGCTTAAAAAATAAAAACATAACCTTAAAATATAAAATGTGCTCTAAAAATTCAAAAAATGACAAAATATGCAAACGCATTATTAAGACATGCAATGTCCTTGTTCAACTAATTATTTTTTAAATTACACAATTTGTAATTAAGCTTTTTGAAAATTATAAATAAATTGAAGTTTCATGAATAAAAGAGTTAAATTATAAGCTAATTGACTAATTTAATAGTGTTATTAGTTAGTATAAGTATATAATATATAATAATTATGTATAATATATAATATTCATGGATATACGTGTTTAAATTATAAAGAAACTACGAAAACAACTTTATTGATTTTAATATTTCGTGACATAAAAATGTATAATTGATCAAATTTATTATTCATGTACGAAATCAATTTTATCATAGTTAATCATTATTATTGCATGAATTTATTACTTTAATAATTATTAGTGACCTATACTAAAATAATTAATTAACCTATATATAAATAGGTACATATCATACAAATCAGTAAGTACATTTTTTTTTTTTTTTAGCTTCGAGTATAAAACTATTACAGCTCAACGATTATGTATATTTTTTAAATGCTTATTTTGTTAAGTGTCAATAGTTTTTCAAAACTCTAGAATAGTATATAGGTAGGTATATATTATATATATATTTATTGTATATTATGTTCATCAACCTTGGATAAATAACAATTTTGCTATATGAATAATTATGAATGATCTAATCTTAAAGTTATTTATGAAAATTATTCGCTACACTGAATAATACTTTAATAAGTTAACTTACTGTAACAATGATATGAGGTAACATGTGAATACATTATTAATGTTAATCTAAATTTTTGGCTCATATATATACAATTGTCATTAGGCGCGTCCAAGGATATAAAACGTAAATATATTTAAATTAAAAAAAAAAAAAAAAAAACGTAGACATATTAATATTCTGCTTGTAATTTGCTTATAACTATGTAGTAGGTAAACGCAAATTTTGTTTAATACTTATATAGTCAACGATTATGTGTTATAATACTATATGTCGAACGTTGATATATACCTACTTAAATAATAGAAAATAATTCAACTGCATGTAGTCACTCGTATTTATCCAATTGTAGTAAACTATTGTAGCAAATATCTTATCTATGCATGAAGGTTGTTTGATTACCGCAATAAAAATGTATATATACACACACATATGTATATATACTTCATAGAACCCTCGGTTTAAACGTGTAACTGTATATCAAATGAACTCAACGAATGATATGAATTTCATTACAATATTTATAGGTATAGTATACCTATTATGGCTAGTTTAAACGTGCGGGTATGAGAGTTAGTTATA